TACTGTTGTGAATCATAATGTAAATATCTGATATGCAGGATATTTGGACCAAACTTGCACGGCTACTCAATATGCCCAAATGTGAACACCGGTGGAGTTTGAGGAAAATAGAGCTTGACATTTGGGAGACATGTAGTTCACCTACAATCAAAGAGCATTCTGAACCCCACGTACGATAGAATTGGGCCAAACTTCCCAAACAGAACTCCCATAACCAACAGAAAATACTGTGTTTCCTGATGGTCTTTGGCGACCCCTCTGACACCCTCTTGCAACCCCCCCCCCCCGGGGTCCCGACCCCTAGGTTGAGAAATGCTGTTCTATAGCATAGGTACACCCTGAGTCCTCCTGGGCTTACTTTTGGGTAAACGTGCATAAGGATTATATTTATTTATAATATTTGTATCCCGCCCTTCTCACCCCAAAGGGGACTTAGAGCGGCTTACAAGTAATAATAATAATAATAATAATAATAATAATAATAATACTTTATTTATATCCCGCCACCATCTCCCCAAGGGGACTCGGGGCGGCTTACATGAGGCCACGCCCATCAATCCAATATACACAATATAACACAAGAACACAACAGAAAATAAAAAAAATAAAATAACCTAAAATACAAAACCAATGTATATAAGCGCCACACAATAAAAAGTCAAAACATTACAATGTTTTATTTTATTGTTCCCACTCTTTTTATGTAAACAATAAAAGTATTTTAAAAAAACATTACGACATTTCATTACAACATTAAAAATACAGGCATAGAATATATTATATTATTAGCATAGCACACTATTAGCATTATCTAGTACTATATTGTACTATATCACTAAATTTCAATATTATTAGTATATTACATGTAATATACAATATATAATTATATATTATTATATTGTATTACAATATTCGGATCCATATTATATGTACATACAATATATTGTTATCAAAGCACACTATTAGGATGATATATTGTTCTATACTGCAATATTATTAGTAATATTCCATGTAATATATAATATACAGCTATTATACTTTATTATTATTAGTATATTGTATTACATTATAATATTATTATCGGTATTATATTCTATGAAGAAGAGATAAATGCAAGATGCTCCAATTAGGCAGACAAAAAATGAAATGCCGAGATACAGAATGGGTGACGCATGGCTCAATAGCAGTATGTATGAAAAAGATCTTGGAGTCCTCATGGGCAACAACTTAAACATGAGCCAACAATGTCATGCAGAAGCTAAAAAGCAAATGGGATTTTAGCCTGCATTAATAGCAGTCTAGTGTCTAGATCCAGGGAAGTCATGTTACCCCTCTATTCTGCCTTGGTCAGGCCACACCTGGAATCACAGTGTCCAGTTATGAGCACCACAATTGACTTACTTAGGTGATGCCTCGTTGGATGAATAGGATAGTCTTCCAGGATCAGTGTTCAGGTGGGTCCGTAGGTGACTGTGGATCCCTATTCTTGATCTGCATCTTCTCCCGCAGTGAGGGCATTGGTTTCGGTCGGAGTTGGCTTGACGTGCCTTCCTCTTGGGACATTTCTCTCTTTCGCCCTCTATTCGTGCCTCTTCAAATTCTGCAGCACTGCTGGTCACAGCTGACCTCCAACTGGAGTGCTCAAGGGTCAGGGCTTCCCAGTTCTCAGTGTCTATGCCAGAGTTTTAAAGGTTGGCTTTGTACCCATGTTTAAATCTCTTTTCCTGTCCTCCAACATTCTGTTTTCCGTTCTTGAGTTCGGAGTAGAGCAACTGCTTTGGGAGACGGTGGTCAGGCATCCGGACAACGTGGCTGGTCCAGCGGAGTTGATGGCAGAGGACCATTACTTCAGTGCTGGTGGTCTTTGCTTCTTCCAGCACACTGACATTTGTCTGCCTGTCTTCCCAAGAGATTTGCAGGATTTTCCGGAGGCAGTGCTGATGGAATCGTTCCAGGAGTTGCATGTGACGTCTGTAGACTGTCCACGTCTCGCAGGCATATAGCAGGATTAGGAGGACAATAGCTTTATAAACAAGAACCTTGGAATCCCTACGGATGTCCCGGTCCTCAAACACTCTCTGCTTCATTCGGGAAAAAGCTGTACTCGCAGAGCTCAGGCAGTGTTGTATTTCGGTGTCGATGTTGACTTTGGTGGAGAGGTGGCTGCCAAGGTAGCAGAAATGGTCAACCATTGAAACCACAATTGAAAGGAGATGTTGACAAGCTGGAATGTGTCCAGAGGAGGGCGATTAAGACGATCAAGGGTCTGGAGAACAAGTCCTATGAGGAGCGGCTTAAAGAGCTGGGCATGTTTAGCCTGCAGAAGACAAGGCAGAGAGGAGATCATGTATCAATATATGAGGTGAAGTCTTAGGGAGAAGGGAGCAAGCTGGTAACTGTCTTTCTGCCCAGTGGGGCTTAGTACTCAGTTGGATAAAAGGAGCAGTAAGGCAGCTTTCTGTGCCAAGATGTTCAGGACCCATTTGAAGTTTCCTTGCTCTCTTGACTAACCTCAGATTTTATTTTTCTCTCTGCACCTTTCACCCCTGCAGATTGTGTCAGTGTCCCAACATGCCCGAGTTGTATGGATAGCATCAATTCAGTGTGTGTCTTGCTTCCAGGCATGAAGAAATCAGGGAGGAGGGCTTTGTATTTGGACTCGGCTCTCTGGGAGTTGGAAGCTCCAGATAGGCCCCAGTTGCAAGAGTTCAACTTAGCAGTACAGTCAGCCTTCTACATTTTCTGTGAGTTAAGGGCACAGGATCCACACAAAAGTGAAACACCACAAACATGCTGCTATTTTTTTTAGCCAGGAGAACACCTTTTTAGGAATATCTAGTTTCTCCGGCATCACTCTATGGCAGCATGGGCAAACCATATTTAATAATCTAGAGCTGAGTAGTAACCTTTCGTTGGTAGTCAGCCTCTCCCCTCCTGACATCCTTGTTGCCTCGGCACTATAAGAGGGTTTTGTGAGACCAGTTGCTCTCATTGCCACATGGGTTCAAGGCAACGGTGTAATAATGGTGAGGCCACAGAACATATTTTCGTTTTTGTGGACCACTGGTGGTCCACGGAAAGGACCTGAGGCTGTTTGAAGTGGTGGGAAGTACTGCTGTGGGTAGACTGCTATTCCAACCCTGTTTCAACTGAAGGGACAATTTTGCTACCTAAAAATGAGACCTTCTCCTGTTTCAGATGCTGTTGACGCTGCCAACTGAAGCACTCTAGACTGAGGATCCAGCGAGCTTGCACACGGAAGAAGCCATGCAGGAGAACTTAGAAACAGATACCATTTTGGGTATGTCTAAATTTTAGGCTGTACTCAAATTTCAAGTCTATCCAAATAGATAAAAACGGTCAGAGCATGGCTGATATCTAAGGGAAGAGGATTCCACTTAGTAGGGACTGCCATGGGTAAATGTTGAACAAGGTAGACTTCAGGACATGTATTGCCACATCTGGTGGCTTCTCCAGATCAGAGGAATCTATAGATGACAAGATGGTGTCCTAGTTAACCAGTCCGCATGATATCTCAGAATGTAGGGACTACAAAGGAAGCCTTAAACTTCATGTTGGTATGTTCTATGTTGGTTGTGAATTATGTGTCTTTCCAGATGTTGTTGAACTACAACTTCCAAGGTTCTTACCACGAGCAGTGCTGGCTAGAGCCGCTGGGAGTTGCAGTCCAACATCAATGAATGGGCTGTATGATTACTGCCTCTACTGTGTGTGGAAGAATGATATCCATAACATGTTTTGGACTCTAACTCCCATACTCCGCCAGCATGGCAAATGATTGTGATGTTGTAGCCAGAAATACCTGAAGCTGGGGGAAAGTTGGATTAGGGCAGTGGTTCTCAACCTGTGGGTCCCCAGGTGTTTTGGCCTACAACTCCCAGAAATCCCAGCCAGTTTACCAGCTGTTAGGATTTCTGGTAGTTGATGGTCAAAACATCTGGGGATCCACAGGTTGAGAACCGCTGGATTAGGGCACCTGAGGAGGGAATCTGTACTATAAACCCAGATCTTTGTGATTGTGTGCCCACCTCAAAGGAGGAGTGACATCTAGTGGAGAGTGGTTTACAGCAAAAGAGGCTCTTCTCATAGTCTGATACCTTGAGTCCAGTCACTGTTGGCATAAAGGCTCATTATAGAGAGACAGGCAGGCAAATGCTTAATAGAGATCCGTGATTTTTCCACTTCCCTGGCTTTGAGGAACCAGTAATTTTTCCAGGATTCTCTTTGTGTCTACTGGCCAACTGGAATGGTTCTCAACCTTCAGTTCTCTGAATGTTTAATCCCTGAACTCCTAGAATCTTCTGGGAGCTGAAGTCCAAAACTAATCTTATATAAAAAATATTTAACAAAAAAAGAATGGAGGAACTTTCCCCACAAGTCGACTTCCCCCCAAGTTGAAGGTACCTTTTAGGGAAAAGCTACCCTAAAATAAAGCAGAGCATCCAAAAACAGTAGGCTGTTTGGAATTGTGGGAGTTGAAGTCCAAAACACCTGGAGGGCTGAAGTTTGCCCATGCCTGCTGTATATGTTAGGGAAAACTACCCAAAAATAAAGCAGAGCATCCAAAAAACAAACAGGATACAAAAGTTGAGCACCAGCTCATTAGTGAGCAAAGCGTGAAGTGCCGTGTGATGTGGCTCTAAAGAATTTAAAGCTTAGGAGGCAAACATGCAGAGTCCAATCTAAAAGAAATCACAAAATGTTTGTTTAAAATAATAAAAATATTCAGGTTCTTTGGGTCACAGGGAGAGGGAGAAAATGTACTATTTAAATAGATAAATAAATGCATACTAGTTTCTTCCCTTATTCATTCTTTCTCTTTCCTTTGCTAGGTGATGGTGAGATGGCAGAACACTTGAAGGAGCAGGAGGAAGAAGAAGAGGAAGAAATGGAGGCTCTATATATCGAACCCCAAGGCTATCTTGGGAAAGCGGTCTTGCCATCAGCCATTGCAGCACCACCACTCCGCGGGAAGGGAGAACGTCCATATCCCTGCAGCGAGTGTGGAAAGGCCTTCAGTCAGTGGTCCAAGCTGGTGCGCCACAGGCGTATCCACACAGGAGAGCGCCCCAACACCTGCACTGATTGCGGCAAGTCTTTTACGCAAAGCTCCCACCTTGTCCAGCACCGGCGGACCCATACAGGCGAGAAACCCTATGTCTGTGGTGACTGTGGCAAGGCCTTTTCCTGGAGCTCTAACTTGGCTCAGCACCAGCGCACTCACACGGGGGAGAAGCCCTACGTCTGCCGGGAGTGCGGCAAAGCCTTCTCTCAGAGCACCAACCTCATCAAGCACCAGCGTAGCCACACTGGCGAGAAGCCCTACCGCTGCCCTGAGTGCCCCAAAAGCTTCTACCGCTCTTCGGACCTCATCCAGCATCAGATAACGCACACAGGTGAGCGCCCCTTCAAGTGCGATGAGTGTGGCAAGGGGTTCACCCAGAGTGCTAACTTGGTCAAGCACCAGAAGATCCATGCTGGGGAGAAGCCCTTCCGGTGCAACGACTGTGGCAAGACCTTCATCCAAAGCTCTGAGCTCATCCAGCACCAGCGCACCCACTCAGGAGAGAAACCCTACCAGTGCCAGGAGTGTGGCAAACGCTTTGGCCATGGGGCCACCCTAGTCAAGCACCAGCGGCTCCACATGGGGGTAGAGCCATACCGCTGTGGCGATTGTGGCAAGACCTTTGGACTCAGCTCGGCCCTGGAGCGCCACCAGAGGTGCCACAGTGAGAGTCGCCCATACGCTTGCACTGAGTGTGGCCAAAGCTTCTCCTTGGCCTCCAACCTCACCCTCCATTCCCGCATCCATCGAGGTGAGAAGCCCTACCGATGCGCCGACTGTGGCAAGTGCTTTGGCATGAGCTCCACCCTCATCCGCCACCAGCGCATCCACACGGGCGAGAAGCCATATGCATGCCTTGACTGTGGCAAGGCCTTTGTCCGCAGCTCGCACCTCACTCAGCATCGCCGGACGCACACCGGCGAGCGGCCATACCACTGTGAGGAGTGTGGCCGCCGCTTCTCCCAGAGCTCCAACCTCATTACCCACCAGCGCATCCACATGGAGGAACGACCTCACGTCTGCCATGGTTGTGGGCAGCGGTTTGCGCAGGAGGAGGAACTGAAGTGCCACCAGAAGGAGGAGAAGGGAAAGTGCACCATGGAGAGAGGAGACTCTCAAGAGATAGCAGGCGACACATGTGGGAAGAGTGGCAAGGATGACCATGCGGTGGCATTTTGTCAAGAGGGCAGTGTGCTCTGTACTGTATGTGGGTTGGACTGCAAAGACGCTGTTGAACTGGAGCAGCATCAAGAGAGCCATGCCTCCCATTTATGTAACCTTTGTGGGAAGACCTTCCAAGACAGTGCAGGTTTAGTGCACCATCGAGAAAGTCATACATCTTATATCTGCACCGAATGTGGGAGAACCTTTAGTGATGCACACACCTTGGTCTGCCATCAAGAGACACACGAATCATGGATTTGTGGCATATGTGGGCAGAACTGCAAGGATAGGTTGGCTTTGGTGCACCATGAGGAAACCCATTCCATGCCCAACTGTGGGAGTTTAGTCAAAAGCAAGGTCTGTACACTGCACAACAAGAAAAAGGGGTGCTTCAAGGAGAATCCAAAGCTTATGCTTGACCAGAAATCTGTGGATCTTACACAAAGCAACTCCCAGGAAAGTGTTGCAGCTGGAGCATTCCTGGTGCAGCATCAGGAAACACAAGAAGCTTGGATTTGTCTGGAATGTGGAGAGGATTGCCAGGATAGGTTGGCACTGGTGGATCACTGCCGGAGCCATGGGAGATCCCACTCATGCAGTAAACGCACAGATCTGTGCCACCACCAACTCACCCGTTTGAAGGGAAAATTGTACAAATGCTTCAAGTGTGATCAGAGCTTTGGAAGCATCTTGGATTTTACTCAACACCAGGAAGAACACACTGGTAAGAAAGCACACCAGCGTGCCAAGCGTAGACAAGATCTTGTGGACACCACAACCCCTAAACTCCACCAAAACAGTCACAAAGGGGAGAAAGCAGATGAATGTCTTGAACCTGAAGACTCTTTGGACACTGACTCAGATTTTGTCCTGAGCCAGAAGAATCACAGAAAGAGGTTAAGCCCAATAATCTTGCCCAATGATGAACCCTCCACTGAAAATTCAGTTCCTAGCTCTCGTCAGATCATCTCACTCGAAAGCCAGCCATTTCGGAGTCACTCAAGTTTCACTGCATGTCAAGGAATCCCCCCAGAAGACAAGGAGCCTTTGTGTGGACCTCACAAGGACAGCTCCGTTCTTACATCCCAACAGGAAGCTCACCAAGGGGACAAGCGAGAGGTCTCCCCTGCCACTCCCCCACCTAAAAGAACCCCTGCTCCGGTTTCCACTGAAATGGCTGCCCTCATCCGGCATCCCAGTCCCAAGCCCTACAAGTGTCACAACTGCGAGTGGAGCTTTGTAGATGCCGTCGGCTTGTCCCAACATCAAACTGACCACACGAAGGAACGGCTCCCAAAACGTCCTGAGTGTGGTAAAGACTTCCCAGAAAGGCTGGCTTTGATCCGCCACCAACACGCTGCAGAGAAAGCCAAGGCCAACCAGCCAGCTCTGCCGACAAAAAGCAATCGCAACAAGGAGAGGGACCAGGGGAGTTCTCTGGAATTTGGGGAGAGTTTCACAGAGATCTCAGCCATCCTTTTGCAGAGGGGGGATCATGCCACCAAAAGGGGCAGTCGGCATCAGCTGAAGAAGCATGGGACATGCTCAGGAGATGCGCTGGAGCCCTACTTCCAACTTGGTTTGGGCAAAAATTCCAGCACGGGAGGCGGGTTGGCCCAGCGCCATGCACAGCAGGACAAAGGGAAATACTTTGCATTTTCGGGACCTACGAAGATCTCTAGGAATAGCTCAATATTGTTACAGCATCTCCAAAACCACACAGCAGAGAAACAGTGACACCCAGAAAATGTGGGATATGTGTCAGTTCCAGAGAGATAGTGGGTAGGGCCCACGACTCTGTCTTTCCTCGCTGCTCAGGGTGTGTTAAGTCCGGGGACAGATCAATGGAGCTTTTAGGCCTGCTAAGTCTGGAGAGGTAGAGGAGATATTAGCAGACATTATTATTAGATTGGGGAGTGCAGATTAACAGAATGAAGCAGAATGTGTAGCAAATGGTGCAGAATGAGAAACCCTTTCTTTACAAGCAAAATATAATGTATGTCCCTCAGTTCAGACACTTTTTAAAAATTTCTTCCCACATTCTCTTTCTCTCTGGGCCCAAAACATACCTTAGGGCAGTGTTTCTCAATCTTCTGAATGCCGCGACCCCTTAATACAGTTCCTCATGTTGTGCTGACCACCAACCATAACATTATTTTTGTTGCTTTTTCATAACTGTAATTTTGCTATTGTTATGAATAGTAATGTAAATATCTGATATGCAGGATGTATTTTCATTCACTGGAACAAATTTGGCACAAACACTCAATATGCCCAAATTTGAATACTGGTGGAGTTTGGGGAAAATAGAATCTTGACATTTGGGAGTTGTAGTTGCTGGGATTTATAGTTCACCTACAATCAAAGAGCATTCTGAACTCCACCAACGATGGAATTGAACCAAACTTGGCACACAGAACTCCCGCGACCAACAGAAAATACTGGAAGGGTTTGGTGAGCATTGACCTTGAGTTTTGGAGTTGTAGTTCACCTTCATCCAGAGAGCACTGTGGACTCAAACAATGATAGATCTGGACCAAACTTGGCACGGATACTCAGTATGCTCAAATGTGAAAACTGGTGGAGTTTGGGGAAAAAATAGACCTTGATATTTGGGAATTGTTGTTGCTGGAATTTATAGTTCACCTACAATCAAAGAGCATTCTGAACCTCACCAATGATAGAACTGGGCTAAACGTCCCATTCAGAACTCCCATGCTTTGAAGGGACTCATTGGCGCGAGCCTCCCTCCAACCTTGCACACTCTCCCTCGCCCTCACATGCATACCATGCTGCCATGTGCTGAGCCCACCTGCTCTCCCCTCCACACTTGGAGTCTCGGAAACAGCCCTCACCTTGGCTGAGAGGCCAGCAAATCACAGCGGGAGGGAGGTTTCTCAGTTTGTTTCCAAAAAGGAAGAGAAGGACAGGCTGAGAGATCTTCAGCCTTCTCTGCCAAAGGGGTTCCTAAGCCCATCAGAAATATATGTTTTCTGATGGTCTTTGGTGACCCCTCTGAAACCCCCTCACAACCCCTCCAGGGGTCCCGACTCCCAAGTTGAGAAACACTGCCTTAGGATATTATGTGAATCTCTGCATTGTAAAATGAAGAGTGGGTATACTTGTACAGGATATGATTTATATAACATTGAGATGGGCTAGTGTTCTTGTATTTGAAAAGACATACCAGAAGAAGGGGAAGTTTTCCAAATACATCTCCCTGCAGTCATTGCATGTTAGAGCATTTTCCATGAACAGTATTCCACTGTGGGCATTTTTTTAGAAGAATGACATGGCTGCTTTTGCCACTTTTCTGTGTCTGGGAGATAGAAAATGAATGTGAATGGATAGATCTGCACTGAAATGTATTTTTGACCTCTCCTCTCTTACTCTTTTTTTTTCATTGGTCCTAATTAGATTCTTTAAAAACATACTCCCTATCCTAATACAGGTTGAGCAGCCCTTATACGGAAATCTAAAATGCTCCAAAATCCAAAACTTTTTGCTGCTAGCCATCTGTTGCAGTTTTTGAGTGGCAGTTCCCTCTTGTTGGTACACAAAGTAGAAGCAGGTGACTGATGGGCTTTCCAGACATTTCTTATACAGCATTATTGTATTTTCCCCCTTGAATAAAAAAAAGTAAAGGTCAAGATTTCCCTTGACATTAAGTCTAGTTAAGTGCAACTCGGGGGGTGCGGGGTGGTGGAGGTGGTGCTCATCTCCATTTATAAGCCGAAGAGCCGGTGTTGTCCATAGACACCTCCAAGGCCATGTGGCCAGCATGTCTGCATGGAGCACCGTTACCTTCGTGCAGAAGCGGTACCTACTGATCTTCTCACATTTGCATATTTTTGAACTGCTAGGTTGGTAGAAGCTGGGGCTAACAGTGGGAGCTCATCCTGCTCCCCAGATTTGAACCACCAACCTTTCAGTCAGCAGCTCAGCTGACTGTGCCATTGGGGGTCCCCCTTGAATATAAGGTCCCTCAGACCTTCTATCCCTCTCTAGCCTTGTGTCTCATACATGACACTAGTAGCAAATGAATGAGACTGGGGCTGGAGAGAGACCTAAGGATCTGTGAAATTATGTTTTTGGTTGTGGGCACCATGGGGTGCCGTTTTGTTAGCCGCCCTGAGTCCCTCTGCAGAGGTCGAGATAGGACGTGATACAAATGTCCGAAATAAATAAGTAAATAAATAAGTAAGTAAGTAAGTAAATAAATAAATAAATAGCGCTGCGCACTTCACTCGGATTCCCACCATTTAACAGATATTCCAAATTTTGAAAAGAAAAAAAAAACAACCTTCTGGTCCCAAGGATTTCAAGTAAGGGATACTCAGCCTGTACAGTTTTACCTTAAAGAGCCATTCATTGCCAACATCTACCTCACTGCTCCAAACTGGGTCATGTCAGGCACTTTTGACACAAAAAGTGCAGTAGAGATGATAGGTAATAATCCTGGTAGAATGCAACACAGTCTGTTTCCCAGTGGAACCTTATGGCATAGTCTTAGTCATACATTTTTAATTTGTTACGCAAAAAAAAATTCTACATCTTAAAAATTATTTTTGTAGTTGTGAATCTTTCTCCACCCCCAACCTCCAATTTGACTTGGGGAAAAAAAGGATATCTGTGTTACTGGTCCAGCTTAGAAGTCAGTGTCGGTATCTTCTCAGTGTCGGTATCTACCTCATTCACTTTGTCTTATTGCTTTTCTGTTGTGAGAAACACCCACACAAATACATACACATGTAATAAATTATTACAGGTTGAATATCCCTTATCCAAAATGCTTGGAATTAGAAGTGCTTCATATTTTGGTTCCCCCATTCCCCCCGATTTTGGAACACCTTGCATATACACAACGTGATATCTCATAGATGGCATTCATGTCTAAATACAAAATTCATTGACTTTTAATTTATATCTTATGTGACCTGATGAAGAGCAGGTCACAAGAGACTATGCTTAGACTGTAGAAGAGGAGGTTAAGAAGAGACATTATGGCCATGTTTAAATATTTGAAAGGATGTCACAAGTAATAGAGATCAGGCTTGTTTTCTGCTGCCCTGAGGCTAGGACTTGGAGCAATGGGTTCAAATTACAGGAAAGGAGACTCCACCTGAACGTTAAGGAGAATTTTCTGACCATAGGAGATGTTAAACAGTGGAACTCATTGCCTCAGAGTCTAGTGAAAGCTCCTTCCTTGTGGGCTTTTAAACACTGGGTGGCCCATGTCAGAGGTGGCTTTGATTGTGCTTTTCCTGCATGGGAGGGGGTTAGACCACGAGGGTTGAGTGAAAAGTAATGCCTCCACCTTCATTACTTTGGTTTGGATGGGAATATTTTAATAAATCAAATGCAGAAATAATCCTTAGAATGTGCTCTTTAACTATGACTATTCGCTGTTCCACATAATCACCAGACAATTGGATATATTTCTGCCAACAATGAATAAGTTTTCTGAAGCCGTCAATGAAGAAGTCGACACTCTGTTTCCGCAATCCATCGTGCACACATCTTCCGATAGCCAAGCAAAGCAATAATGTGACCCAAACGTTCTTGTGAATGCCGATTATGCTTGAAATTTCTCTCTAAGTGATACAACAATCGTCCTGAATCAATCTGTCAACCTTTTTCTTCTGAAACTCGGTGGTTGCTGTCACAGGATGTCCAACTCTTTGTCATGCAAGTCAGATGTTCCCACCTCAACATCTTTAAACTTACTCACCCAACAACACACAGTAGTCGCATCAACACAATCACCATAAACAGCTTGCATTCACTGATGAATCTCCTTTGGGGTGATACCTTCTGCTGTCAAGAATTCAATGACTGCATATTGCTCAAGTCGCATTGACCGACTGTCTGCGCAGGGTTCCATACTTTGCACTTTAACAACACAACCGTTCAATGCTAAGGCTTCCTGCTAAAATGGAACTGTAGAGGAGAGTCTACTGAACAAGCCAGTACCTGCCACATACCAGTACTGCCATCTGTTGAGGAATTACGAAAGTGGAGGCATTACTTTTCATTCAACCCTCATACATGGCCATGAGAGATCATCAGCATGGCAGTACACCTTATAGCCCTCGCATGGGCAAACTTTGGCCCTCTGAGTGCTTTGGACTTCAACTCTCACAATTCCTAACAGGAATTATGGGAATTGAAGTCCAAAACATCTAGAGGGCTGAAGTTTGTCCATGCCTGTTATAGCCTGAAGGCAATGTTATACACAATATATTAAATAAGGTCTATACAACAAAGTTTGGGCACATTAATCCATCAGAAAGCAAAGGGGCCTCTAACCCAACAACCCACATGAACGATTTTCGGATAAAGGATATTCAACCTGTACTATGCTTTTATCTTCTTTTTCTCTGTTCATCTTTCCTCTCAACCTGCTTACATTAATATTATTTTCAGGGCTAGGTTTCTGCTTTTTTTGCTTCAACAGTGTGATCCTATGCATCTTTACACAGAAGCCAGCCCCATTATGTTTGGAGGGGATTACATAGCATTGCTGCCTTAACCGCTCATCTTTGGTAACTCAGGGCTAGCCTCTTATTTCCTTGGTGTGTCCCCATCTGACCTGCAAGAAGAACAAAAACAAAATGTATCCTGTAGAATCCAAAAGATTGCTGTGTAGGATCTCTCCATATATGTGTATCTGTGTTTTTCCTTCTCAGAGGTCACAAAAAAAAAAAAATCATTAGTGGTAGCAAAAAAAAAAATCATTACCTCGGATCATGTCTGTTTGATGGATTGAATGAGATGGTTTGATTCTGCGTTTCCCTTTGTAATTCTAGGAATGTATACAAACTGAGACTAATAAGAACTCAGAACTGGTTTATGCAAACCCTTTTGTGTTGTGTCGTTTTCTTTTCAATCGTCACCTGAATTTGAAAGCTCTTCTTAGGGAGCTACAAGCATCTGGATACTAGGCATGGATAGAATTGTGTCGGATAACTCTTTGCTCGTAATAATTTCGTTAAAATTACCTTTTTGGAGCGATATCGAAGCTTTTTTAAAAGCCGGAAGTTTTTTTGCCCTTCCGAAGCTTTTTCTGCCATTTTTGTTACGACTCAGGAAGTGAGTCGGAAATGATTTGGCTTTTCTCTGCTTCTGGTTCCTGGCCTCGGCTCAAGCCAGAGAAGCCAGTTTTAAACCAGAGAAGGAAGGAATTTCCTCCACTTGCTTTCCTCCGTTTCTGGAGTAAAACAA